ATCGTATAGAAGGTGGGCCATATATCACTCCATCATACCCATTGGGGGGAACTTAACAAATCTCCTTCTCCCCCTTTCTTAAGTTTGTGCTTTTCTCTAATATGGGCCTGTAGTTGTTAACCTACTAACCACTCTTGATACAAACTTATCGATGCTGGGGAATTAGCTCTTTCATTAAGCAGAAGTAACCATCCATTTTCGTTATGGAGGTCAAGGTCACCTCTTGGTAAATCGAAGTCTGTGAATGGTGGGCAAACTGGCATCAGTTAGAGTGGAGAACATGCCTGGCTTCATTCCCAACTCAGTCCTTGAACTGCTTTGTGCCTGAATTAACCATCTGTGAAATGGGCAATAATACACATCTCTCCTATAAGGAGCTTGTAGCAGTGCCTTACAGCAGCTTACAACATATCCCTCCCTACCAAGGGCGTCTTAAATAAATGTGTAAGACTTTTCTTTCTAAAAAGAACCTGTTGTCCACATCACTGATACAGCACTTAAAGGGTATTACTCTGTTTCAATGGTTGAAAGATGAAGAGAGAAAGTAGAGGAACCATGGCAGGGTGGGGGGGGGGGTGTCTGTCACAGTCAGCACCCCATTCCAAACACATCCAAGGAGTGCCACTAGTGTGACCGTGGGAGGCCATGAGTGCACCCGTACATACCAAGTGAACCTCACTGCTGAGTGATGTGTGGCTGAGTTTGCTTTGTCCGGAGTTTTTTTCTTTCTGATTTTACAGAGTCACTGACAAAAATTCATAAGGAGTTGGACACTATTAAATTCATGCGGGTGAACGGAGTGCCATCTAACAATAGCGCTATTCTAAGATAGAATTCTAAGAGATTCCTCCTTCCGAGGACATAATTGACGCAGTTCTTAACCTCTCTTCCTGGCCAGTATTGCCTCCCCAAACAGGTGCCCTTGAGCCTCAGGGAGCTCTTAGCATGGAGGAATTGCCCAGCCGCACATGCGAGTCAGCTCCACGGGTCCGGTCACTCAGGGTCATGTGACTGACAGTGGAAACACTTAGGCTTTCTCGAGCAGGGATGCTGTACAGAAGTGGCCTCAGTGCCACCCACTGCTCCCTGGAGGCACCTGGCAGGACTGTGTGCGATTTCAAGCCTGATAACCTTTTGGCCCCCAAAGGCCTTCAGTTGGCTATTGAAGAGGAGGAACTGATGCTCTGTTATTTCCCTGGGAAGAATAAAGACTCTAATATTTCTATGTAGTTCAGCTCCTATGGCAGTTAACTAGGAACCTTGGTGACATTTTGCTACTGGTGCAGTAAGTTGGAAGTAAAGGTCTTTGGAACCTAAGGTCTTAGAGAACCTAGAAGCTTTATAAAACCTACTCTGTATTAGTTCAGATCCAATATTTATTTCACCGTTTTTTTCCCTCTTAAATAAAAGCTGGAGAATGGTCCCCTTGTCAGAGCCTCCTCTGTCGCTCTCTCCTTTGATGCCTTCATCCTCTGCTTGTGTTGCCGTCCTCCTTTTGAACAAATAATACTAATCATTTATAGGTAGTTCCAGGAAACCTTGTGCTAGTGCCGGTCTCGTACTTTTTATTCTGTGTTTCCTAAGATTGTATCTTCGGAATACCATTCTTTTTTTTTTTTTAATAATTGTTTTTAATAGCGTTTAGTCACATCATTTATAATGGCGTGTGTTTATAAAAGATAAGACTGTTTGGTAATTTAGTCTTATCTAGAGTTTTTGTTTAGAATTGAGAATAGGGGAAATATAAATTCACAAAGATTATTTCAGGTTCTTTTGTTAACTATCAAATCAAAAGGTATACTGATACCAAACCTCCCAACACCAAATGTGAATGTAATTTATTTAAGCCTATTGGTTCACATGTTTATATAGCCCCCTCATTTTTTTAAGGTAAGTACTATAAATGACTCTTGAAAATCTAGTGTGGACCTGAAACATTCAGTCAAACCAGTTGGGGGCTGGGTTTTGATTTTATATGACCGTTCAATTCAGAGTCTGATTTAGAGTTAAAATTAAACAGCATTTCAAGACGGTTGCTGTCATGGGCAGCGTAATCAGTTCCTTAGACAATGCAGCTCCTAAAGCTCGCCATCATTTGAGTTACTGTTCCTTTGTTTTGTTTTCACTTACACATTCCTTTCTTTTAAAGAAGCAAAAAATATCAAAGTTCACTGAAACTCTGAAAGTCACTGTTTGTGTAGCACTGAATGATGGCAGCTTTGGCATTTGGTATTACAAAGTCACTTTCATCACAGATATTTTCTTCATTCTGGGTCAAGGGAAAGTAAAACTGGAAGAATAAGATTCCCAAATGCAGAGTCTTGAGTTGCGAAGTATCCGGATGAATGTGCATGAGCCTGCTGCAGGGCTGCTGTCTGCTGGGCTGCTCTGTGCTGCTGCTTGGCCTGATCCCCGAGTCCTTACTCAGAGCAGGGCTGGAGAGTGCCATGCTCCTCCAGGGTGACCTGGAGAGTGCCATGCTCCTCCAGGGTGACCTGGGGAGTGCCATGCTCCTCCAGGGTGACCTGGGGAG